GTGTTACCATCTGTGTGTGTGTGGTGTGTGTGTGTGTGTGTGTGTGTGTGTGTGGTGGGTGTGTGTGTGTGTGTGTGTGTGTTGTGTGTGTGTGTGTACTCACCTAATTGTGGTTGCAGGGGTTGAGACTTCACTCTGGCTCCGCCTCTTCATGACCACTCTAGGTCCTGCCCCCTCCCTGCTCTCAGTGCTTTATCATACCTCGTCTTTAAAACTATGTATGTTCCCTGCCTCGCTACATCGCTTGCCGACTATTCCTTTTCCTAAGAAACTCTGTGACTAAAAAAATTACTTCCTAAAAATCCATTTGACTCATCTGAGTCTTCAGCTTCCAATTGTGGACCCCCTGGTTTCTGTGTCCCATCTCTGAACATCCTGTCTCTGTCCACCTTGCTATTCCGCAGTATTTTTGTATGTTCGTTTTCAGTCTCCCCTGACCTCCTGTCCTCCAGTTGTCAGACGTTCCCTTAACCTGTCTTCATAGGACATTTCCCTTAGCTCTGGAACTACCCTTTGCACTTTCTCAAATTTCTTGAAGGTTTGACCAGGTCGGGGTTTCCAAATGGTGCTGCGTACTCCAGTAGGGGCCTGACATACACAATGTATAAAGTCTTGAACGATTCCTTACTGAGGTACCGGAACGCTGTTCTCAGGTTTGCCAGGCGCCCATATGGCCGAAGCAGTTTTCTGGTTAATGGTGCTTCTGGCGATGTTACTCGGTTGTAATCCTCCTAGGTCTTTCTCCTTGAGTGAGGTTTGCAGCTTTGGCCACCTAGCCTATACTCTGTCTGCGGTCTTCTTTGCCCTTCCCGATCTTCATAAACTTTGCATTTGGCGGGGTTAAATTCTAGGAGCCAGTTTCTGGACCACGCATCCAGACTGTCCAGGTCTCTTCGTAAAAACTGTCTGGTCCGCTTTCTGATTTAATTCTCCTCATTAACTTCACATCATCTGCAAACAGGGACACTTCTAAGGCTATCCCTTCCGTCATGTCATTCACATATACCAAAAATAGCACTGGTCCAGGACTGACCCCTGTGGGACCCCCGCTCGTCACCGGAGCCCCCTCTGACTCCTCATCGCGGACCATGACTCGCTTTTTGCCTCCCTGTTTTGATGTTCCTGATCCATTGCAGTGCCCTTCCCGTTGTATGTTTCCTGTCTGTGTGTGTGTAGGTGTGTGTGGTGTGTGTGTGTGTTGTGTGTGTGTGTGTGGGTGTGTTTTGTGTGTGTGTGTGTGTGCCCCGCTCAAGTTCAGACATCCCAGGCTAGGCTGGTGTCAGGTGTCGTTGCCAGGTGCTGGGAGTCAGGTTCCTTTAGTCTAGTTGTTGCTGAGTGCCTTCGGAGTGCCACATGTCCTTGTCTCCTTGGTAGGTGCCATCTATACTGCCACTGTCACCTTGCTAGATGCCATCTTACTGCCACTGTCACCTTGCTAAGGTGCCATCTATACTGCCACTGTCACCTTGCTAGTTTCCATCTACACTTTCCATTGTCACCTTGCCAGATGCCATCTACACTGCCATTGTCACCTTGCCAGATGCCATCTACACTGCCATTGTCACCTTGCTAGATGCCATCTTTCACCGCCATTGTCACCTTGCTAGATGCCATCTACATGCTATTGTCACCTTGCTAGATGCCATTTTACACTGCCATTGTCACCTTGCTAGATGCCCTACCTGCCATTGTCACCTTGCTAGATGCCATCTACACTGGGCCCTTGTCACCTTGCTAGATGCATCTACACTGCCTTTTTCACCTTTCCCAGGTGCCATCTACACTGCCATTGTCACCTTGCTAGATGCCATCTACACTGCCATTGTCACCTTGCTAGATGCCATTACACTGCCATTGTCACCTTTCTAGGTGCCATCTACACTACCAATGTCAACTTGCTAGGTGCCTTCTACACTACCATTGTCACCTTGCTAGATGCCATCTACACTGCCATTGTCACCTTGCTAGGGTGCCATCTACACTACCATTGTCACCTTGCTAGGTGCATCTACACTACCATTGTACCTTGCTAGATGCCATCTACACTGCCATTGTCACCTTGCTAGGTGCCATTTTACACTGCCATTGTCACCTTGCTAGGTGCCATCTACACTACCATTGTCACCTTGCTAGATGCCATCTACACTACCTTTTTCACCTTGCTAGATGCCATCTACACTGCCATTGTCACCTTGCTAGGTGCCATCTACACTACCAATGTCACCTTGCTAGGTGCCATCTACACTACCTTGTCACCTTGCTTGATTGCCATCTACACTGCCATTGTCACCTTGCTAGGTGCCCTTACACTACCATTGTCACCTTGCTAGATTTCCCTCTACACTACCATTGTCACCTTGCTAAAGGGGCCTCTACACTACCATTGTCACCTTGCTAGGTGCCATCTACATACCATTGTCACCTTGCTAGATGCCATCTACACTACCATTTCACCTTGCTAGATGCCATCTACACTGCCTTGTCACCTTGCTAGGTGCCATCTACACTACCATTGTCACCTTGCTAGGTGCCATCTACACTACCATTGTCACCTTGCTAGATGCCATCTACACTACCATTGTCACCTTGCTAGGTGCCCTCTACATACCATTGTCACCCTTGCTAGGTGCCATCTTTCACTACCATTGTCACCTTGCTAGATGCCATCTACATACCATTGTCCCCCTTGCTAGGTGCCATCTACACTACCATTGGTACCTTGTAGGTGCCATTACACTACCATTGTCCCCCTTGCTAGGTAATATTATAGTTATAAGGGAAAAAGACCAGATAGTTGGCTAACAAACGTACAATAACGAAGGTTGTGTGTTTTTTTTTTGCAGGTCCTTGTTGTGAGTGCCACAGACCAGCTTTCCAGACCTAAAAACAACAAAACAACAACTACAACACACACTAAACGACCCAGAGGTCAGTAAACAAGTATTATTTTATTATTATATTATTTTTAATTATTATTATTATTATTATTATTAGAGGTATAACTATTTAAACTGTAAAGTCGGCCTTAGTGCTGCTGCTGCTGCTGCTGGGGTGCTGCTGCTGTGCTGCTGCTGGGTGCTCCTGCTGCTGCTGCTGCTGCTGCTGCTGCTGTCCCTTTCGTTCCCCTTCCTGCTTGTCTCTTCCTGCTTGTCTTCTTTCCTGCTTGTCTTCTTCCTGCTTGTCCTCTTCCTGCTTGTCCCCTTCCTGCTTGTCCCCTTCCTGCTTGTCCTCTCCCCGCTTGTCCCCTTCCCGCTTGTCTTCTTCTGCTTGTTCTTCTTCTGCTTGTCTTCTTTTCCCGCTTGTCCCTTCCTGTTTGTTTTTTTCCTGCTTGTCATTTCCTGCGTCCTCTTTGTTGCCCTCTCCTGCTTGCCCTTTCCTGCTTGTCCTCTTCTGCTTGCCCTTTCCGCTTGTCTTTTCCTGCTTGTCCTTTTCTGTTGCCTTTTCCCTGCTTGTCTTTTCCTGTTTGCCTTTTGCTTGTCCTCTTCTGTTGTTTCTTCCTGCTTGTCTTTCCCTGTTGCTTCTTCCTGCTTTTTCCCCTTTCCTGTTTGTCCTTTCCTGCTTGTTTTTTCCCCTGCTTGTCATTTTTCCTGCTTGTCCTTTTCCCTGCTTGTCCTTTCCTCTTGTCTTTTTCCTGCTTGTCTCTTCCTGTTTTGTCCCTTTTCCCTGCTTGTTCCTCTTCCTGTTTTCCCTCTTCCTGCTTGCCCTCTTCCTGCTTTCCTTTTCCCTGCTTGTCCTCTTCTGCTTGTTTTTTTCCTGCTTGTTTCTTCCCTGCTTGTCCTTTTCCCTGCTTGTCCTCTTCCTGTTGCCCTTTCCGTTGTCCTTTTCCTGTTGTCCTTTCCCTGCTTGTTTTTTCCCTGCTTGTTTTCTTCCGTTTGTCTTCTTCCTCTTGTCTTTTCCTTTGTCTTCTTCCTGCTTGTCATCTTCCTGTTTCCCTTCCTGCTTGCCCCTCTTCCTGCTTGTCCTCTTCTGCTTGCCCTTTCTTGCTTGTCCTCTTCTGCTTGCCCTCTTCCTGCTTGCCCTCTTCCTGCTTGTCCCTTCCTGCTTGTCCTCTTCCTGCTTGCCCTTTCTTCCTGCTTGTCCTCTTCCTGCTTGTCCTCTTCCTCCCTTGTCCTCTTCCTGCTTGTCCTCTTCCTGCTTGTCTTCTTCCTGCTTGTCCTCTTCCTGCTTGCCCTTTCTTCCTGCTTGTCCTCTTCCTGCTTGTCTTCTTCCTGCTTGTATCTTCCTGCTTGTCTTCTTCCTGCTTGTCTCTTCCTGCTTGCATCTTCCTGCTTGTCTTCTTCCTGCTTGTCATCTTCCTGCTTGTCTTCTTCCTGTTTGTCCTCTTCCTGCTTGTCTTCTTCCTGCTTGTCTTCTTCCTGCTTGTCTTCTTCCTGCTTGTCTTCTTCCTGCTTGCTTCTTCCTGCTTGTATCTTCCTGTTGTCATCTTCCTGCTTGTCTTCTTCCTGCTTGTCTCTTCCTGCTTGTCTCTTCCTGCTTGTCTCTTCCTGCTTGTCCTTCTTCCTGCTTGTCTTTTCCTGCTTTATTTTTCCCTGCTTGTCTTTTTCCCTGCTTGTCCTTTTCCCCTGCTTGTCTTCTTCCTGCTTGTCATCTTCTGTTGCCCTTCCCTTGCTTGTTTTCCCTTTCCCTGCTTGTCTTCTTCCTGCTTGTCTTCTTCCTGCTTGTCTTCTTCCTGCTTGTCTTCTTCCTGCTTGTATCTTCCTGCTTGTCTTTTCCTGCTTGTCTTCTTCCTGCTTGTCTTCTTCCTGCTTGTCTTTTTCCCTGCTTGTCATCTTCCTGCTTGTCTTCTTCCTGTTGTCTTCTTCCTGCTTGTCTTCTTCCTGCTTGTCTTCTTCCTGCTTGTCTTCTTCCTGCTTGTCTCTTCCTGTTTGTCTTCTTCCTGCTTGTCTTCTTCCTGCTTGTCTTCTTCCTCTTGTCTTCTTCCTGCTTGTCACCCTTCCTGCTTGTCTTTTCCTGCTTTTTCTTCTTCCTGCTTGTCTTCTTCCTGCTTGTCATCTTCCTGCTTGTCTTCTTCCTGTTTGTTTCCTTCCTGCTTGTCATCTTCCTGGCTTGTCTTCTTCCTGCTTGTCTCTTCCTGCTTGTCTTCTTCCGGGGCTTGTCTTCTTCCTGCTTGTCATCTTCCTGTTGTTCTTCTTCTGCTTGTCTTCTTCCTGCTTGTCATTCTTCCTGCTTGTCTTCTTCCTGTTGTCATCTTCCTGCTTGTCTTTTTCCCTGCTTGTCTTCTTCCCTGCTTGTCATCTTCCTGCTTGTCTTCTTCCTGCTTGTCTTCTTCCTGCTTGTCTTCTTCCTGCTTGTTTTTTCCTGCTTGTCTTCTTCCTGCTTGTCTTTCTTCCTGCTTGTCTTCTTCCTGCTTGTCTTCTTCCTGCTTGTCTTCTTCCTGCTTGTCATCTTCCTGCTTGTTTTTTCCCTGCTTGTCTTCTTCCTGCTTGTCTTTTTCCCTGCTTGTCCACTTCCTGCTTGCCCTCTTCCTGCTTGTCTTCTTCCTGCTTGTCTCTTCCTGCTTGTTTTTCTTCCTGCTTTTTCTTCTTCCTGCTTGTCTTTTCCTGCTTGTCATCTTCCGCTTGTCTTTTTTCCTGCTTGTCTTCTTCCTGCTTGTCTTCTTCCTGCTTGTCATCTTCCTGCTTGTTTTCTTCCTGCTTGTCTTCTTCCTGCTTGTCTTCTTCCTGCTTTCTTCTTCCTGCTTGTCATCTTCCTGCTTGTCTTCTTCCTGCTTGTCATCTTCCTGCTTGTCTTCTTCCTGCTTGTCATCTTCCTGCTTGTCTTCTTCCTGCTTGTCTTCTTCCTGCTTGTCATCTTCCTGCTTGTCTTCTTCCTGTTTGTCTTCTTCCTGCTTGTCTTCTTCCTGCTTGTCTTCTTCCTGCTTGTCTTCTTCCTGCTTGTCATCTTCCTGTTTTGTCTTCTTCCTGCTTGTCTTCTTCCTGTTGTCTTCTTCCTGTTGTCATCTTCCTGCTTGTCTCTTCCTGCTTGTCTTTCTTCCTGCTTGTCTCTTCCTGCTTGTCTTCTTCCTGCTTGTCTTCTTCCTGCTTGTCTTCTTCCTGCTTGTCTTCTTCCTGCTTGTCTTCTTCTGCTTTCTCTTCCTGTTTGTCTTTTTCCTGCTTTCTTTCTTCCTGCTTGTCTTCTTCCTGCTTGTCATTTTTCCTGCTTGTTTTTTCCCTGCTTGTCTTCTTCCTGCTTGTCTTCTTCCTGCTTGTCTTTTTCCCTGCTTGTCATCTTCCTGTTTGTCTTTTTCCCTGCTTGTCTTTTTCCCTGCTTGTCTTCTTCCTGCTTGTCATTTTCCCTGCTTGTCATCTTCCTGCTTGTCATCTTCCTCCCTTGTCATCTTCCTGTTGTCATCTTCCTGTTTGTATCTTCCTGCTTGTCATCTTCCTGTTGTCTTCTTCCTGCTTGTCTTCTTCCTGCTTGTTCTTCCTGCTTGTCATCTTCCTGCTTGTCATCTTTTTGCTTGTCTTCTTCCTGCTTGTCATCTTCCTGCTTGTCTTCTTCCTGCTTGTCATCTTCCTGCTTGTCATCTTCCTGCTCCCTCCTGGGATTGATTGCTGCTAATTACCAACTTTTTATTTAACTAATGCTTATTAGTAGCAAAAACTGTTTCTACATTATTAGACGTTCTGTTTTGAATTTTACCAGATTTATTTTTATTTGTAATTGTGCGTTGTATGTATTACTGTTGCCCAAAAATAGATGTTTACAAGAGCCAGGGTTTAACTAGGTTGTTTTTCATGTAATAATTTATCTTCTCCCCTCACTCTTGTCATAATCTTCTTCTCTTGTCCATCACAAGGCCCCTCCCTCTCCTCTTTTTCCTCCCTCTTCCTTTCTTGTTCCATACAAGGCCCCTCCTTCTGTCTCTTGTTCCTCCGGCCCTCCTCTGTTCTTCATCACAAGGCCCCTCCTCTCCTGTTCTTGTTCATCCAGGCCCCTCCTCTCCTGGTCTCTTGTTCCATCAACAAGGCCCCTCCTCTCTCTGGTCTCTTGTTCCTCACATGGCCCCTCCTTCCTGTCTCTTGTTCCATCACAAGGCCCTCCTCTCCTTTCTCTTGTTCCCATCACAAGGCCCCTCCTCTCCTGTCCTTGTTCCATAACAAGGCCCTCCTCTTGTCTTTGTTCCTTAAAAGGCCCTCCTTTCCTGTCTTGTTCAATCACACGGCCATTTTCCCCTTTGTCTCTTGTTCCATCACAAGGCCCCCTCCTCTCTGGTCTCTTGGATCATCACATGGCCCCTCCCTCCTGTCTCTTGTTCCATCAAAAGGGCCCCCTTTCCTCTCCTGCCCTCTTGTTCCATCACAAGGCCCCTCCTTTTCCTGTCTCTTGTTCCATCACAAGGCCCCTCCTTTCCTGTCCCCTTGTTCCATCACAAGGCCCCTCCTCTCCTGTCTCTTGTTCCACCCACAAGGCCCCTCCTTCCTGTCTCTTGTTCCATCACAAGCCCCTCCTCTCCTGTCTCTTGTTCCATCACAAGGCCCTCCCCCTGTCTTGTTCCATCACAAGGCCCTCCTCTCCTGTCCTCTGTTCCTTCACAAGGCCCCTCCTTCTCCTGTCTCTTGTTCCATCCAAGGCCCCTCCTCTCCTGTCTCTTGTTCCATCACAAGGCCCCTCCTCTCCTGTCTCTTGTTCCATCACAAGGCCCCTCCTCTCCTGTCTCTTGTTCCATCACAAGGCCCCTCCTCTCCTGTCTCTTGTTCCATCACAAGGCCCCTCCTCTCCTGTCTCTTGTTCCATCACAAGGCCCCTCCTCTCCTGTCTCTTGTTCCATCACAAGGCCCCTCTCCTGTCTCTTGTTCCATTACAAGGCCCCTCTCCATCTGTCTCTTGTTCCATCACAAGGCACCTCTCCTTCTGTCTCTTGTTTCATTACAAGGCCCCTCTCCATCTGTCTCTTGTTCCATTACAAGGCCCCTCTCCTGTCTCTTGTTCCATTACAAGGCCCCTCTCCATCTGTCTCTTGTTCCATTAAAAGGCCCCTCTCCTTCTGTCTCTTGTTCCATTACAAGGCCCCTCTCCTTGCCCTCTTTTTCCATTACAAGGCCCCTCTCCATCTGTCTCTTGTTCCATTACAAAGGCCCCTCTCCTGTCTCTTTTTCCCATTACAAGGCCCTCCCCTGTCTCTTTGTTCCATTACAAGGCCCCTCTCCATCTGTCTCTTGTTCCATTACAAGGCCCCTCTCCTGTCTCTTGTTCCATGACAAGGCCCCTCTCCATCTGTCTCTTGTTCCATTAAAAGGGCCCCCTCTCCATCTGTCTCTTGTTCCATCACAAGGCCCCTCTCCATCTGTCTCTTGTTCCATTACAAGGCCCCTCTCCATCTGTCTCTAGTTCCATCACAAGGCCCCTCTCCATCTGTCTCTTGTTCCATCACAAGGCCCCTCTCCTTCTGTCTCTTGTTCCATCACAAGGCCCCTTTCCATCTGTCTTCTCAATCCTTTGTCACAGGTTCCTCCATAACCCCTCCATCAACCCTCCATCACCCTCCATCACCCTCCATCATCCCCCATCAACCCTCCATCATTCCTCACACTCAAGAATCACAACAACGTTCTGAAGGTTCTTCAAGGATAATGATAGGCTGGATAACTAGAACTTATAAGATGAGAGATGCTGAGCCAGTGATGATACTCTTAAGTCACTTGTCCTCTCCTGGCTGGTATACTGTTGTATACTGACGACCACCTTCAAGACAGGCTGGTATACTGTTGTATACTGACGACCACTTCAAGACAGGCTGGTATATGTTGTATACTGACGACCACCTTCAAGACAGGCTGGTTACTGTTGTTTTACTGACGACCACCTTCAAGACAGGTTGGTATACTGTTGTATACTGACGACCACCTTCAAGACAGGCTGGTATACTGTTGAAATAACTGACGACCACCTTCAAGACAGGCTGGTATACTGTTGTATACTGACGCCCACCTTCAAGACAGGCTGGTTTTACTGTTGTATACGATCACTTTCGAGACAGGCAAGATTACTGAGCTGGAAAACGTACAGAGAAACCTTCACTGTTCGCATACATTCAAACATCTGAACTACTGCCAATGTTTAAGTCCCTTCAAATGTACTCCTTGGAACTTAGGCGAAAAAGGGGTTACAACAAAATTTTACACCTGAAAAATTCTGGGGGGTCTGGGGAAAAATTTGAAACACTGAAGTTACTCCTTGTGGGCAAGAGACTTGACAGATGGTGCAAAATATCTCCATTTATATGTAGGGGCGCGGCTGTTACTGTTGATTATAGTAACAGTCTGGTTGATCAGGGCTTGATGCACCAGGAGGGCCTGGTCCGGGACCGGGCCGAGGGTGCGCTGACCCCTCAGTAACATCGTTCAGCCACTTCAAACCACGGGTTTCCGCCCGTCCATAAGCCCCCTCCTTTATCCCCCCCTTTTCCTGCCAAACCACCTTCCCCCCTACCATCCATCTGCCTTCCTAACCCCCCTCCCTCCCCCCCATCTCCTCAAAACTCAAGTCGACTCACACAAATTAATAATACACAGGAGATGAGAGCCTGGGCAAGCAATTACCAGGCAGGGCAGGGCGAGGCTCCAGCTGGCTGGTGCCCGGGCAGGGTGTGTGAACCAGCTGGCTGGTGTCGGGGGACCCCACTGGAGGGTTGTGAACCACTGTCTGGTTCCCGGGCAAGGTGTAAGCCAGCGCGTCTGTGTGTGGGGTGTGTGGTGTGTGTGTGTGTGTGTGGTGTGTGTGTGTGTGTGTGTATGTACTTACCTAATTTGTACTCACCTAATTGTGGTTGCAGGGGTCGAGTCTGCTCCGGGCCCCGCCTTTTTTATTGGGCCCGTAGGTCCACTTCCCCTGTGGGTTTTGTGTGTGGG